AGGAGTAGAGAGGGATAGAGAGCTAGAAACGTCGATGAGAGAGAAACATCGACCAGCTGCCTCTTGCACACCCCCTACCGGGGATGTGCCTGCAAGCAATGTACATGCCTTTGACCAGAATTGAACCTGGGACTTTTCAGTCCGCAGACCAAGCTATACCACTGAGCCAAACCGGTTTCGGCAATAATGTACTTTTTAATAGTGACAATAGGTTGTTATTATCTTATATAATAAAAGACTAATATGCAAATCAACCGAAAGGTGGAATGACCAGTAGCTATGATGCACACTGACCACCAGGGGGCAGACGCTCAGTGTAGGAGCTTTTCCCTGATGGTCAGTATGCTTCCATGGGGGAGCATCACTCAGCCAGAAGCCAGGCTCATGGCTGGTGAGTGCAGCAATGATGGCAGGAACCTTTCTCACCTTCATTGTAGCACTAAGGAGCAGCAAACTGAGTGGTAAGGAGCAGTGAGCAGGCAGGCAGTAAGGGGTCCCAGACTTCAAGTGGGATAACTGACTGCCAGCTTAGGCCCATTCCTGGAGGGAGCGGGCTTAAGCCATCAGCCAGACACCCCCTTTTAGGTCCCCTCTCCGAATGCATGAATTTCATGCACCAGACCTCTAATCAATAATATAGTTCTGCTGAAACCGGTTTGGCTCAGTGGATAGAGCACCAGCCTGCATACTGAAAGGTCCCAGATTTGATTCAGGTCAAGGGCATGTACCTTGGTTGCAGGCACATCCCCAGTAGGGGTGTGCAAGAGGCAGCTGATCAATGTTTCTCTCTCATCAATGTTTCTAACTCTCTATCCCTCTCCCTTCTTCTCTGTAAAAAATCAATAAAATATATTTTTTTTAAAAATAAGAAAAAATATATAGTTCTTATTCTCTTCTTTCCCCCAGAATTAACTGTCCTGTGTCTTGCAGAGTTAGATCCTAAGGATACAAAAAATTAAAATGTTTCAGATCACAGTATTCAAAATGAGCACAGACACTCCCCAAAAGATAATCAGTATTAATCAGAATTCATAAACCTGTTGAGCTCAGATACCACCACAGGGGAAACCATTTTTGTTAATTCATTTTCATCCAGATTTAATCTATTTTACAAAGTGAATTACTAAATATGACCCAGTGCCCTATTCCTTTTTTATCAAACTTTTCTCCAAAATCTTCTCACTCCTCCACTCTGATGCTCCATGACAAACAAATTCACATATCTTCTAACCCTCTTCTCTGAATGCACATTTCTCTTTTGATCTTAACTGAAACTGATTCTCTTATTGTATATACCATTTTGGTTCGCAAAAGCTGGATGATCAATCAGAATCAAGATCTCCAGTGCTAGGGGTCCATATTTTCTTTGATCACTATTACTCCTTAGTCCAATACACTATCATAGTCATGTGATAAACTGTGCTCCTGTGATATTTCTAATATCAGGTGATATTCCTGCCCACTCTTTTTTTCCTTTTTATTGACTTTATTGGGGTGACACTAGTTAGCAAAAGTACACAGGTTTTGAGTACTCAATTCCACAACACATGACCTGAACACTGTATTGTGCATTCACCATCCCAAGTCAAGTCTTCTTCCATTCCCATTTATCCTTATTCTCTCTCTCATAGGTATTATCCTATCTAATAAAAGAGTAATATGCAAATTGGCCATCACTCCAAGACACGGATGGCTGTCCCCATGTGGACACAAGATGGCCACCACAAGATGGCCGGCAAGAGAGGGCAGTTGTGAGTGATCAGGCGAGCAGGGGAGGGCAGTTGGGAGGGACTAGGCTATCAGGGGAAGACAGTTGGGGGCAACCAGGCCTGCCAGAGAAAAAAGTTCGGGGAGACCCAGGCCTGCAAGGGAGGGCAGTTGGGGAGAACCAGACCATCAAGGGAGGGCAGTTAAAGCCAACCAGGCTGGCAAAGGAGAGCAGTTAGGGGCAATTGGGCCAGCAGGGGAGCAGTTAGGCATCGATCAGGCTGGCAGAGGAGTAGTTAGGGGAGAATCAGGCTGGCAGACAGAAGCAGTTAGGGGCAATCAGGAAGGCAGGCAAGCAAGCAGTTGGGGCCCAGCAGTCCTGGATTGTGAGAGGGATGTCCGACTCCTGTTTAGGCCCAATTACATCCCTCAAGGGGTCCCAGATTGGAGAGGGTGCAGGCTATGCTGTGGGACACACACACCCTCAAATCCCCCATGCATGAATTTCGTGCACGGGGCCTCTAATCTACTGAATACTTACATTAACTCAAAAGTTCATTTGAGACTATTCTATCCCCTCCTTAGCTCCAGGTAACCATCTCATTTCATATTAATGCCCTGATCTGCTTTCTTTCACTATGGATTAGACCCCCCCCCCAAAACTTTTCATATAAATATCATACAGTATATATTCATTTGTGTCTGCTTTCCTCCACTCAGCATAATATTCTATTCTTTTAAGATAGATTTTTATTGTCCAGCCAGCATGGCTCAGTGGTTGAACATAGACCTATGAATCAGGAAGTCACGGTTCAATTCTCAGTCAGGGCACATACTCGGGTTGTGGGCTCGATCCATAGTGGGAGCATGCAGGAGGCAGCCAATCAATGATTCTCTCTCATCATTACTATTTCTATCTCTCCCTCTCCCTTCCTCTCTGAAATCAATATATTAAAAATATATTTTTAGCCAAAACTGGTTTGGCTCAGTGGATAGAGCATCAGTCTGCAGACTGAAAGGTCCCAGGTTCGATTCCGATCAAGGGCATGTACCTTGGTTGCGGGCACATCCCCAGCAGGGGGTGTGTAAGAGGCAGCTGATCAGTGTTTTTCTCTCTCATTGATGTTTCTAACTCTATCCCTCTCTTAAAATAATCAATAATATATATATATATATATATATATATATATATATATATATATCCTGTTTCCCCGAAAATAAGACAGTGTCTTATATTAATTTTGCTCCCAAAGATGCGCTAGGTCTTATTTTCAGGGGCTGTCTTATTTTTCCATGAAGAAGAATACGGTACACATTTATTGTTAAATGAAAATAAAGGAAATTTATTACCTGTATACGGTACAGTAGTACGGTAGTTGTCAACACAAACCAGACAAAGTGTGAATCTACAGTATCAAGAATTTACTCATTTATTCAATGACAATCATGTCATCATCTTTTGAAACATCATCATAACAATCCAATTCCTGAATTTCCTGGTGAATTTCTTGTGACTCCATCTCTTTCAGAATCAGTGGACCAAATCTCTCATGTTTAGCAATAGCATTCTGAGACACAGCCTGGCGGGGGGGGGGGGGGGGGGCTTATTTTTCAGGGAGATGCCTTATATTTCACTCAGAAGGAAACCTGTAAGTAGGTCTTATTTTCAGAGGATGTTTTATTTTCGGGGAAACATAGTATATATATAAAATGCATTTTAAAATATAGACGTATCAGCCAAAACCAGTTTGGCTCAGTAGATAGAGCGTTGGCCTGCAGACTGAAGGGTCTCAGGTTCGATTCCGGTCAAGGCATGAACCTTGATTGCAGGCACATCCCTAATAGGGGGTGTGCAGGAGGCAGCTGATCAATGTTTCTCTCTCATCGATGTTTCTAACTCTATCCCTCTCCCTTCCTCTCTGTAAAAAATAAATACAATATATTTAAAAAATAAAATAAAATATAGACATATCTTTATTATTAAAAATATATTAAAATATATTCTTCTTGACAGAACAGTATCAGGTCATATGATCAACACTCCAGTTTTCAGTTCTTCATACTATGTAAGTCCCTGTGGATTTCTTTTAATTTTTTATGAGTGCAGATATTTTTTTTTTAAAAGATGGTTCCTATGTTTAGCTGGCTTTGCTAGGATTTTGTAAAGAAACATTTTAGGGTATTTAATTTGTTATATCTTCAAAAATGGGCATCTTTATTCTACTATATAGATTCTGCTCCCTTCATCTCAATAGAACTGCTCTTTTCAAAATCACTAACAACCAATCATATCACCATACCCAATAGATAGTTTCTATATGCATGTTACCTAAACACACAGTAGAATTCATCCCAGATGATTATCCCCTGCTTCTTGAAACACTCTTCCTTTCTTGATTTCTATAATATCACACCCTTCTACTTTATTTTTTCCTAATTTATAGGTATTGTTTCTTTATCCATTGCTATCTCCTTCTCTACCTGATCTAAAATACTGCTTTTTTTCTGAAACATCATTTACTATTTAAGTACACTGTATAACTTCAGAATATTGGTAGTAAATATTGGCCATCTGTGTGGGTATGTAACACACCCAAGTATATGACTCACAGCCACCATGCCATGGAGGCAGTTTAGTAGACTAAAATAGTTAATTAATATTAACCTCCTAAAAAATCTTATAGTGGAAAAACGAGAAAATTTTATATGCTATATTTCTCCCAGGTAAAGTGCTAATTATATACAAGCCTTTCCCTAGATATCAGTAAATTCATATTGAAGAAAATATCTCTGATTTAGATATTATTTAAAAACTCTACAAACTCTGTATAGTCTTTACTAAATATCAGATGATACATACTTTCAAAAAGGCTAGAGGAGAAGCAGCAAGGTTACATGTGCATACAAAAACTGGGTTATAAAAATGCTTTCAATCCACCTCTCTGTTTCAGTTTAGTTTCCCACCCTTCTCCTCCTGGAGCTCTGCTCATTAATTTTCTCTTCTCACTAAACTCTCCAACCCTCCCAATCTCCTGGAACAAGCCTGACTGAGACATTAAGCACTGCAGTAACCTTACTACTTCAACACTCTTCTTATTCCCACTTCTTTGTTAAGAGTTTAGTTGTCTGATATACCAGGATCTAATGACTCAGTTGCTAATGCTGAACTAAGGTATTGCCCCATTATCCCCAGTAATGGTTCTTCTATCTTCTCACACCTACTCTGAGTGCCCACCATAACACTTTGAAAATGCACCCTCCCCCCTCTTCATTCTTTATAAAACCACACTCACCAAAGACTGTACGGGCAGGAACAGACTCTCTGTTGAGCCAGAAAGACACTTGTGACAGAATGACAGTCATAATGCACGGCAAGTAGGTCTGGATCACAAAGTAGCCAATTTTTCTCTTGAGGTGGAAGTGGGTTGTCATGACAACATATTCTCCTGGAAAGAAAGTAAAATTAGGTGGTATGTAACCGAACAAACATTTTTGGATTGAGGTGGGTTCCAATTCAGTTCACAAAGCTCCTTAACATCATTGCACCTCCCAAATCCATGAAACCAGATCTCATGAAGTAGTGAAATAAATAAAAATTTTTAAAAAATAATTAAGATCTTACTATGTGCCAAAAAAACTTTTAGTGTTTTTGAAGTATTTACTTTGTACCCTTCCAACAACCCTGTAAGGAAGATACTAAGGAAGGTCCCTTGTTAAATTTAATAGGTAATTATTAATCTTACTGGATTTGTCTGACGAATTTTACACAATCGAGCCCTCCATCCTCCTGGAATGACTCTTTTCAAGGAATTTCTAGGCCATGGTGCTTTTTTGGTTTCCCTCCTACCTCATTAATTCTCCAGTCTCCTTTGATGATTCCTTTACATTTCCAAACACTTCAGGATGTCAGGACTTATACTCTTTTCTATCTCACTCACTGCCTTTGCTTTCTCAGTCTGTATCTTTAAATAATACCTTAAATTCTGATAATCCCCAAAGTATATCTTCTTAGTGGGCATCCTACTTGTTATGGGTTGGATTGTGTGTCCTGAAAATATATGGTAAAGTCCTAACCATGAGTACCTATTAATGTGACCTTCCTTAGAAATAGGGTTGTTGCAGATATAATTAGTTAAAATGAGGTCATACTGGAGTAGGATGGGCTGTTATCCACTATGGCTAATCCTATACAATAAAGGGCTAATATGCTAATTAGACTGAACAGTAGAACTACTACTGTCTGGATGACCTTCCAGACAAAGCCAGGACTGCAAGGGCCAGCCAAGGCTGTGAGGGGCTGCAAGGGCTAAGCCCCTTGCATGAATTTCCTGCATTGGGCCTTTAGTACTCTTATATAAAAAAAGAAACATACAGGGTGATGTTATAATTGTAGAGAGCCACCTGAGAAGACACATGGACATTCTTTTCATTCTTATCAGCTGAGCCAGAGGGCAGTGGCAGAATCCTGTTATCAGTAGATTTCTTAATCCATGTGCTTGGAATGAGGAACAAATAGGACCTTGACTCACTCAGGTCTTGATATGCTAATTCTTATACCAAAAAATATGGAGCTTACCCAGATTTTGATGAATAGGATCTGGGCACACCAGAAACTCCTTTTGACTTTATACTCCCCTTTGGAAGCCAATAAATATGCTGTGTTGTCTGTGGTGAATGTGACTGTCTCTCCATCAGAGAGATGGCACCTACCTAGCTCCCAGCTTTATGAATCTATTTCTGCCTCTTGTTTCTTCCTTTCTCTAATTTCTTTTTTTTATGAGTTTTCTTTTTTATTTTATTTTTTAAAAATAAATCTTTATTGTTCAGATTATTACAAATGTGATCCTCTTCCCCCCCTCAATTGCTCCCCTCCACCAGGTTCCCACCCCACCCTCTGTCCTTTCCCCATCCTCCATTGTCCTCATCCATAGGTGCACAGTTTTTGTTCAGTCTCTTCCCACACCCCCAATCCCCTTTTCCCCGAGAATTGTCAGTCCACTCCCCTTCCATACCTCTGATTCTATTATATTCACCAGTTAATATTGTTCATCATATTTTTTTTTAATTCCCTTGGTTTTTAGATTCACTTGTTGATAGTTACGTATTTGTTGATCATAGTTTCATCTTTATCTTCTTCCTCTTCCTAAATAACCTCCTTCGGCAATTCATATAATTCTGGTCTGGCAGTAATGAACTCTTTTAGCTTTTTTTTGTTTGTGAAGCTCTTTAACTGTCCTTTGATTCTGAGTGATAGCTTTGCTGGGTAGATTATTTTTGGCTGCAGGTTCTTGCTATTCATCACCTTGAATATTTCTTGCCATTCCCGTCTGGCTTGCATGGTTTCTGTTGAGAAATCAACTGACAATCATATGGTTGTTCCTTTATAGGTAACTACATGCTTTTCTCTTGCTGTTTTTAATATTCTATCTTTGTCTTTTGCTCTTGGAATTTTAATTATGATGTGTCTTGGTGTGGTCCTCCTTGGATTCCTTTTGTTTGGGGTTCTGCAGGCTTCCTGGACTTGTAAGTCTATTTCTTTCCCCAGGTGGGGGAAGTTTTCTATCACTATTTCTTCCAGTATTCTTTCGGTATCTTGCTCTCTCTCTTCTTCTGGAATCCCCATAATTTTTATGTTGGTTCGCTTGAAATTGTCCCAGAGGTTTCTTACACTATCTTCAACTTTCTGGATTCTCTTATCTTCTCCCTTCTGCAGAGGAGTGTCCTCTGGCTCTTCATGTTCTAAATCTTTGTCTTGATTCTTGTGATCTTCCAGTCTGTTTTTAGGACTTTGTATAATATTTTTTATTTCAGACAATGTTTTCTTCATTTCTTGTTGATCCCTTATTATGTCTAGTTGCTCCCTTTTCATATCCTCATAGGTCTCCTTTATTTTATCGGCCTTTTTTAGGATATTGTTGAATAACTTTATAACTGTAATTTTGAACTCAATGTCCAATCTGTTCTTTTCCTCCATTTCCTTCCTTTGTCTCCTTCCTCTTGTCTGCATTTTAGTTGTTTCCCTGATTTGATGGAATAGCTTTGTGTTCTAGGTGTTCTGGTAGAGCCCAGTAGCACAGCCTTCCCAGTTACCTGCGGTGGACAGTCTTGGTGTAGCCCTTTGTGGGCTGTGTGTGCAGTCTTGTTGTTAAGCCTTGCTTATAGTTGGTATCACTGGGAAGCGTTGATCTCCCCTTTCTCTAATTTATTAATCCCAAGCTCCTCCCCTCAGGAACCTGTCGTTTTTCCATGCAGGACGTGGGAAAAGGAGAAACACCAAAATAATGACATGTGATGGCAGAGGCAGAGATTGGAGTGATAAATCCAAAGGTAGGGAATGCCAAAGATTGCAACCTTCAGAAACTAGGAGACAAAAGCACAGCACAGATTCTGCTTCAGAACCTCCAAAAGAAATAAACTCTGTTGACACCTTGTTTTAGACTTTTAGACTCTAAAACTGAGTGAGAATACATTTCAATTATTTTAAGCCACCCAGTTGGTGATAATTTGATACACAGACCTAAGGTTCCCTACACTACTCTGGACCTATGTATTCAATTACCTATTATACATCATCACATTGGGATCTAATAGGTATCTTGACCTAAGATGTCCAAGTCATAGCTTTTACTCTCCCCATCTCTCACCCCCTTCAACTAGCTCTCCCAATAGATCTTTCCCATTTCAGTAAATGGTAGCTCTCAGGAGCACAGGCCAAAATAAAATTCTTCAAAAAGTTATCATCATTGATTTCTTTCTCTCTCGCCCTTGTATATATCTTCATGTACATACATGCATACACTCTCAGATACCCAATCAATCAACAAACACTTACAGTTCCTTCTCCAAATAATATATATCCATAATTTGACAACTTCTCACCACCTCCACTACTACCTCTCTGGTCTAAGCCACTAGAGTACTATAAAAGCTTTCAAACTGGTATTGCTTCTGTTATTGCCTTCTTCAATGCATTCTTTGCACAGTAGCCAAAATCAGCATATTAAAACATAAGTCAGATTCAGTATTTCTTTTATTCAAGACTACTATCTCTCAAAGAGTAAAGGCCAACTTTCCCTAAATGATCCCCAAATATCCATCCAATCTGACTGCTCCAGTATCTTTCTTGTCAGAGATTCTTATTTTTCACCTCTTTCTCTCCACCCACATTTGGCAGGTCTCCCAAATGAGATAATTTCCCACTTTCCTACCTTATCCTACCCAAGGAAGCACTATCTGGATACTCAAAGCTCAATATACAATACATATTGTGTGTGTATGCAAAATCTAACTTGTTTATACAAACATGAAAAATAAGGCTTTTAAAAAAGATGTCAGCTGGCAGGATGGAGCTGAGAGAGAGGAAGTGAGTGAGGGTATGAAAGGAGTGTGTGTGGAGGTGTGGGCGTGGAGGTATGTGTGAGTGAGGGAGGGAACATTAAATCACACAGGAGCAGCAGGAGCTGGCAGAAAGCACCTCCTTGACAAGGAGAGACTACCACTGCTGCCGGCACTAACCAGATGGTAGGATTCCAGCATGCAGCTCACACCATCTTGAAGGGGAGAACGGCCTTTTTTAGAAACCCATCAACACTACCAACAAGACAGGCCTTGGAACTGCCCCACGAACCAGCACCCACCCCAGCCATTATCCTGCTACCCCAGCTGCAGACTTGCAGACCTCCACATCCAAAGATACACCATTCACAGCAGCTGTAAGTGCAGCTCCCATCTCCAACAGCAAAACCCCAGATTCCTGCATTCATGGGCTTGAGCCTGATCCACCCATTCGTGCCCCCTCGCGCCCGTGATCCAACTCTATAAACAAGCAAGAACACCCCACCTCGGGGTTGTGTACTTATCCTGGGGCGCTGGCGCACTCTCATGCATGCTCGCACATGTTACCCCAACCCTATAGACATAAGAACAGACCACTCTGGGGTTGCATATCTCCTGGGGCACTTGCTCACGCTTGTGCAAGTTATTCCAACTCCATAGACAATAGGACAGCTCACTCATGGTTGTAAGTCTCTCCTAGGGCAGTGTGCGGGAGATGCTAAGAGCACCAGAGAGTGGATTCTGTACAGACAGGGGCACGCAGCCCCACAGTGGAAATTCTGAACATCCTCTTCCTGGAAGCTAGCCCAGCTGCTCAACCTCAATGCTGGGACCTCTAGGTGTGCATCAGAGCTCTGCGCCCTGAGAGTGTGCATCCATTGATACACCACTGCAGAGGCGAGGTTCTGGCAGACTTCTGTAAGCCACTAGTGGTATCCACTGTGAGCTTGCCTTGGGTGCGATCTTGAACAAGCAGGAGGCGCACACCCCTCCAGCAGTAGAAGCTTTGAATTCACTTAGCCTAGATACTGAACCACAGGCACCACAACTGCATGACTATACTACTAGGGCCCTTCAGAGTCCTTTAGTGCACCTCACTGGCAAACTAACA